GTCACCTCGAGAGGCTCCTAAAGCGACGATGCACTTCTCCGCTGCTAGGAGGGCCTTCTCTAGGAGGTCGACTATGAGAGTGGTGGGACAGACCGAGAGGAAGTGGTCCCGGACTACACGAAGGGAGTCAGGGAGACGGGTGACTAGAAAGTAGAGAGTGATGTACATGGGGGGGGGGGTTCTTGGCGCAGAAGTCAGCAGGGAGCGTAGCGCGGTAGCGGGTGTCACTAGTGCGGAGGTGCGTAATGAGGTCAGCGACTGTGGGAAAGGCAGCAAGGTCAGGGAAGAGGAAGGGTAGCATGAGGCGGCTCAGTGCAGCAGTGGCTGGGGAAGAGCAGCGCGCAACTACAGCGTCGTACAAGGTCTGAGCACTCTTGTACTAACTAAAGTGCGCGCGCTCAGCGGTAGGCAGGTGGCGACGCACAGCAAGACGTGCAGCAGCATCGCGCGTGGCCCACTGGGAGCGAACAGTGGGGTCAGCATCAGCAGCAGGGGCAGGGACGGCGCCAGAGGTGAGGTCAAAGAGAGAAAGACCGTCTGCCCTATCGCACTGTAAGAATAGCTGCAGGTCGTCAACCCAGACCTCAAAGTCAATGGCGCGACCCTCAGCGTCAAAAGCTAGGACACTAGGGGTAGCCATGACAGCAGTAGACTAGCAGTAGCGACTGTAGGACAGGGGCAGTGCAGTGACAGAGGTGCCGTTCTCACCAGACAGGGCAGATCGGGCAGCGCAGCAGCACAGGAACACGGCAACACTGCTGCTCGGCCGGCCCAGCAGCAACAGCGGCTCCGCGGGACCAGCGACCCGGCTCCTCAGGCGGCTCGGGCGGCTCGGGCACTCAGCGGCGCAGGCAGCTCGGGCGGCTCGGCTCCTCAGCGGCTCATGCAGCTCGGGCAGCGTAGGCGGCTCGGGCGTCTCGGGTGGCGCTGGGGGACGGGCGGCTCGGGCGGCGTGGGGCCGGGACAGCGGCGCGCGGCTGGGACGGGCGGCTCGGGCGGCGTGGGGCCGGGACAGCGGCGCGCGGCTGGGACGGGCGGCCACGGCCGGTGTGGGGGCCGGGACGGCGGCGCAGGGCCGGGACGGGTGGCGCACGGGCGGCGTGGGGCTGGGACGGCGGCGCAGGGCCGGGACGGGCGGCGCACGGGCGGCACGGGGCCGGGACGGCGGTGCGCGGCCGGGACGAGCGGCGCACGGGTGGCGTGGGGCCGGGACGGGCGGCGCACCGGCGTCAACGGGCCGGAGCAGCGGCGTGAGGCCGGGACGGGCAGCGCACGGGCGTCGACGGGCCGGAGCAGCGGCGCGCGGGCTGCGTGGGGTCGGGACGGGTACGCGAGGCCGGGACGGGCAGCGCGCGAGCGTCTAGGGGCCGGGACGGGCGGCGCACGGGCGTCTAGGGGCCGGGACGGGCGGCGCGCGAGCGTCTAAGGGAGGGGACGGGCGGCGCGCGGGCGTCTAGGGGCCGGGACGGGCGGCGCGCGGGCGTCTAAGGGAGGGGACGGGCGGCACGCGGGTGTCTAGGGGCCGGGACGGGCGGCGCGCGAGCGTCTAAGGGAGGGGACGGGCGGCGCGCGGGCGTCTAGGGGACGGGACGGGCGGCGCGCGGGCGTCTAAGGGCCGCAACGGGCGGCTAAAGGGGCCACTAGGGGCCGAGAGAGAGGGGAGCGCGACTCGGGCAGAGGCAGAGTGCGCTCCGGGCAGGAAAAAAAAGACGGTGGGATTAGGAACAGTTCCCACGAGGGAACCTGCTCGATACCATGAGAAAACTGAAACGAGAATGAATGAACTATGAATGAAGTGAGTACAAATATGAAACCCTAATTGGGTTGTACCCCCTATGGGATACCCCACTATAGCCTACACAACAGCATAAGCTATAACGTTCTGACATCTCACGTATTTTCGCTTCTCTTATCACGGAAGCTACCGCCCCTCCGTCGACTGCCCCGGCTCTTGTTGCCATTGTTCATGGCTTTGCCACCACCCACGCCTTGATTACACCTGTTTGGTCACTGCCCGTCCTCTGTCCGCCAGGGGTGAGTCCGCCCTTGGTTGTAACGTCCTAGAGGGCATGCATTTTGAGCAATAGTTATTAGCAGTCGTTTCCCTACACCCTAAACATACCGAATCCTTGGACGTACTGTGAGGCAGTGTCAGCAGTTGGTCTCTCAGTGGATAACAACCATGAACTAAAAGATGGCGTGTTCGAGATCCATAAACACTTGCGTCGACGCAGTTCCCTTTCGAGGGCGAACGTGATCGATGTCATGTGGATCTTCAAGGTGAAATGACCGCCTCGATTACCACCTTTCTTCAAGGCGCGCTACATCGCTAGAAGTTTCAGTCCGCGTAGGGGAGTAAACCTCTTCGAGACCTTCTCCCCGACCCCGAATATGACCATTATTCGGGTGTTACTCCACGTTGTAGCACAGCGAGGCTATGAGGCGCACAGTCTCGACTTCTCCAATGCCTTTCTCCAGGGCCGCCTGCACGAAGAGATCTGGCTGCGCCATCCTCTTTGCTTCACTGGCGCTTTCCCACCTGGGACCCATTGAAGCCTGAGACAGCTAGTCTGTGGTCTTTGCCATGCGACCCGTGAGTGGCACGGCAGTCTTCTATCCACACTTGCTGAACTCGGTTTTTTGTCCTTCGTCCACCGACCTGTCGCTGCTCGTACTCGCTGATACCATGATAAAAGTAAGCTAGCGGAAGTGTTGAGAATATTAAGTGGTAGGGTACAAGTAGTGGGTAAAGAGAATAACTACCCTATACTGAGATGAGAACCTCACTCTAGCCTAGCATTCTAACAGACATATATTATTTTATTGGACAGAGGAGGAGGAGGAGGAGGAGGAGGAGGAGGAGGAGGAGGAGGAGGAGGAGGAGGAGGAGGGGCAGGAGGAGGAGGAGGAGGAGGAGGAGGAGGAGGAGGAGGAGGAGGAGGAGGAGGAGGAGGAGGAGTAGGAGGAGGATGAGGAGGAGGAGGAGGAGGAGGAGGAGGAGGGGCAGGAGGAGGAGGAGGAGGAGGAGGAGGAGGAGGAGGAGGAGGAGGAGGAGGAGGAGGAGGAGGAGGAGGAGGAGGAGGATGAGGAGGAGGAGGAGGAGGAGGAGGAGGAGGAGGAGGAGGAGGAGGAGGAGGAGGAGGAGGAGGATGAGAAGGGGAGAAGGGGGAGGAGGAGGAGAAGGAGAATAAAGAGGAGAAGACGTCTTTATGGGAGGGCAGTAGAGAGAGAAGGGGCGGGTGGGGAATGGAGGATTGGAAGGAAAAGTTAAGTCATCAGGACAAGTGCTCTTTTTACGCAGCCATTCAAAGCACTTGGTCTGATCTTGTTAGGGCACTTTGCGTTTTTGAATACGCATACTGTTGAGTGCCATGTTTAGTAGCTTATAATGGTATATTGTAGTGGACTCATAGCTCATGTGCACGGCTGATTTTTCAGATCTAGGTACCCTGAGCTCAACCTAACAAATAACCCTGAAGGCACATTTTCCATAAAAACAGCACCCTGATTGCTCAGGGTTGAGCAGTAGTGAACTCCGAATGCTCAGGGTCGAGAATTGAAAATCAGGGTCGTAGTAACGCGCTCATTCTTTACCGGGGACTGAAGTCTCACTCAATCATAAGTCTTATTCTTTACCCTAATCGCAACATCTGCTCGAAATCTGACAGTCTACGGGGATTTCAGGCAGAATCTGCCTTGACCTAGCGCAAAAGGGATTTCCGTACGGAACAGAGGTCGAATCTGCTGTTGGTGTCGCAAGGGTGACTGTGATTGGCGCTGTGACTGGCGCGCTGTGACTTGCGATATGACTGGCAATGTGACTGGCACTGTGGCGATGTGACTGGCGCTGTGTCAGAGCACAACTATTTCGACCAATAACAGCAACCTAAAATCTGACATTACAGATTCGCCCGATCTCGATGGTGGGTGTATGGGAACGAAACTTCAAAGAAACTTCGTCTCGATAAAGCGAGGGGTGAGGGGGGGGGGGGGGGGGGGGGGGGCGGGGGAGGGGGGATTATGCACATGGGGGGCACTGAAATCAATCCGAAGGCGAGGTTATCAGGAGGAAATTTCCGAGAACCTTCGTCCTGATAACATCGCATTCAGGGTCCACAGGCCTCGTACTCTGTGTGACAGGGTCTGTGAAACCCCTACACTGAGAGTGTACACAAAATTTCAGGGTCCGCTAAAGCAATAGGTACTCTGAATGGATCAGGGACCAAAATGTGAAAAACCTGATTTCTCAGGGTTCGGAAAGTGACAAGCCTGAAATCACCCTGAAATCAGGGTAATTACCCTGATAAAATCAGCCCATGGTGAGGAATGTTGAATATCGTCATTAACTATTTGTTTTGAGATTTCTGGTCCACAAGTTGCTAAAAACGTTGAAAGCAAACACATCTGTAGTTTGATGTTAGATCTTTCATCATTGTTACACCGTCACCCATGAAAGCAAGCCATCTTGGAATTAGACTTTCTGTTCTGGTAGGTCTCCTAACATGTATAATTTGCTAATTCTGAGTGTTTGATGCTTGGAACTTGTCGAAACCGCTTACGCTTGTGACGAGGATCCCCAACATCAGTCCTTGGAAGTCCAGAAGTAGCGACTACAGCTAAGGCGTTTGTGAAGATCTCCCTGAGCAACTGAATACCCATTCGCGTAGTTATATACCTTTCAGGGACTTGATAAGGGTTTCATTGACCAGCGATTAGGGTCTCGACGTCTAACAGCGGCTACGCATGAGAAGGTCGAAGCATCTGAGCGCATTGTGATCGCCGTCTCTTTCGAGTCGACTCAAACGCCACCGAAGCATCGGAGCGCATTTTGATCGCCGTCTCGCACACCAGACTAAGAGCGACCTTCCTCGGACACGTGGCGATCAACCCATTGACTAGCACATGTGGCGACGGGGCTTAGATCCGCTACGGAAGCTTACACGTGGCGACCTGAGAGGCACGGAACAGATTGTAGGATGGCGAGGTAACGAGTCAGCTGCATGTGGGAGTCACTTAAGACTCGTACGGACATGTGTCCCCTCAGTCCTCACTCCGTCCGTTCCTCCTACTCTTCCTCCTCCTTTACCATCGGCAGCACCCAATACAGCAGCAGAAGCAGCAGCAGCAGCCACCACTCTAACTGGATCGGGAGCGTCGCACAGCTTCCGTACCCACGCTAACGGTCCTGCCGAACCTGCTGCAGATCCCAGGCTGACAGCAGCAGTAGCATCAGCAGCAGCTGCAGCAGCCTTGGGATTGTCGGCAGTGCACTCAGTAGAAGCACCAGAGGGGGACAGCAGCAGCGCTGGCGTGGGTTCAGGGCGAGAGGGATCCGCAGGTGGCGCAAGGCCGGCAGTGGACTGGGGTGGTGCAGGAAGGGGAGAGGGAGGTGAGGGGGCGGCAGTGGGGAGCAAGCACACGGCGCGCTGGCGAGTGTTCACAGACCGAGGCAGGGAGCTCTTCTCACAGGTGAGCGATTTGCCCGAGGTCATCACCAGAGTAGGGGTGCAGAACGGTGCCTGGAGAGGGCTTTAGAGGAGGTAGAGGCGGGCTTTGGGTGAATCTGCATGTATTATCTGGATGGAGGCTGTACTGCCTGCAGTGCATGAAGCTGGCTGAATCGTCCCCTTCACCTCTCGGTCCCCTCCTCCTGACCTCAGGGTCGCCTACGGGATGCAGAGTGGTACCTGCAGAGGGCTATGGAGGAGGCGAAGGCGGGCTTTGGAAGAAGCAGAGCAATACCTCTTTCCACCCCTTTCCATCTCTCTGCACCCCCAGGGTCGGCTACGGGATGCAGAGCGGTACCTGCAGAGGGCTATAGAGGAGGCGAAGGCGGGCTTTGGAAGAAGCAGAGAAATACCTCTTTCCACCCCTCTCCATCTCTCTGCACCCCCAGGGTCGTCTACGGGATGCAGAGAGGTACCTGCAGAGGGCTATAGAGGAGGCAACGGCGGGCTTTGGAAGAAGCAGAGCAGTACCTCTTTCCACCCCTCTCCATCTCTCTGCACCCCCAGGGTCGGCTACGGGCGGGATGCAGAGCGGTACCTGCAGAGGGCTGTAGAGGAGGTGAAGGCGGGCTTTGGGAGAAGAAGAGCAATACCACTTTCCACCCCTCTCCATCTCTCTTCCTCCTGCAGGGTCGATTACAAGATGCAGAGCGGTACCTGCAGAGGGCTATAGAGGAGGCGAAGGCGGGATTTGGGCCGTCTGATCCGCACGTGGCGTCCTCCTGCAATAACCTGGTGGGCTGAAGGAATGAGGGGATGGGGTGCGGGTTGAAGTAGGAGGGTGGGGTTGGTGAGGTGAGGGGGATGGGGTGGGTTGCACTTTTGGGCCGTCTGATCTGCATGTGGCGTCCAGCTGCAATAACCTGGTGGGCTGAAGGAATGAGGGGATGGGGAAGGGGAAAAAGTAGGGGGATTTCGATGAAGGGGGTGGGTGAATTGCGCTTCGCCACGTGGCATTTACGTGGAGTGAGAGGGGAGTGAGAGGAGAGTATGCTGATCCCCCTCCTTTCTCTCTCCTTCCACCCCGCACACCAGGCAGAGCTGTACCGAGTAATGGGGGAGTGGGAGGCAGCAGAGCGTCTGTTCCAAGAGGCTGCAGAGCGGCTGCGAGCGGTGGAAATGCCTCTGCCGCTAGCAGCCACCCTGCACAACCTGGGAGGGTTGTACCTGCAGCAGGCTCAGCTGGGACAGGGTCAACTGGTGCATTCTCAACTCGGGAAGGCTGAACTGGGGCAGGCTCAGCTGGAGAAAGCTCGTGTGTGCTATGAGGTTGGTTTTTGAGGCGCCTCAAAAGCTCAGTTGGAGAAAGCTCGTATTTCGAGGCGCCTCAAAAGATGACTTTTGAGGCGCCTCAAAAGCTCAGTTGGAGAAAGCTCGTGTGTGCTATGAGGTTGGTTGCAAAACAGAGTAGATTCTAGCATTGTGTGCCATTGTTTCCATTATAAAATATGCAATGCTGAATTCGCCTTTTCATAGCCCTCTGTTTCATAGCCCTCTTTTTCATAGCCCTCTTTTCATAGCCCTCTTTCCATAGCCCTCTTTTCATAGCCCTCTTTTCATAGCCCTCTTTTCATAGTCTTGTGTTTTCATGATTTCCATGCTGTGTTTGCGTAAGCTCTCCTTTGTTGCATGTGTTGACGATCATACGTGGCATGGCATGCGATGGCAACCCTGTGGATGGCGATCATGGCCCATGGTTTGACTTTACAAATCCATGTTCAATCAACATGTCCTGCGGCGCTTATCACCTCAACAAACAACACCTGCTCCTGTGCTTCACACCACAGGAGGCTCTCAAGGTATGTTGCACCTGGTACGGCTTTTGCATCTCGGGTTCACTGTTTGCAGCAGGTCGCAGCAGGTTGCAGCAGGTTGTGTGCTTCTATAGAGGCATTTCAGTGTTGCCACTTGTTTGGTATGCCGCTATTGCCTCTCCTCTTGATTCCCATTTTCCTGATTCCCATCCTCTTGATTCCCATTTTCTGATTCCCACCCTCTTGATTCCCATTTTCTGATTCCCACCCTCTTGATTCCCATTCTCTTATTCCGTCCTCATCATATCCATCCTCTGCCTGCGTGCGTCTTCTTCTCTCTTCTGCCCGCGCCCCATCCCTTCCGTCCTTTGCCCTCCCTGTCTCTCTCTCCTCCCACCTGCAGCTAAAGGCCAAGGAGCTGGGCGAGTCCCACCCAGACTACGCCAACACCATGTTCCACCTCGCAGAGGTGAGTGAGGGGTAGGTGAGTGAGTGAGGGGATTGGTGAGTGAGTGAGGGGATTGGTGAGTGAGTGAGGGGATTGGTGAGTGAGTGAGGGGATTGGTGAGACGTTTCAAAAACACCCTCACTTCAAACACCCTCACTTCACGGGGCCTCCCAACGTGGCTCATGACCATCTCACCTTTTGAGTTGACTCTGATTTTTGAGATGTTTCTCAATATCCACAATACAGTCCCATCTGACTCCATCGTTATCCACCGTTTCCAATCCCGTCTGTATGCAACCGTAAGGTCTTTCGTCGGTTGGGGCGACGGGAGGAAGCACAGGCACTGCTGCGAGGCTCTGTGAAAATCCTGGAGGTATGGGGTTCCGTTTGTTGAGAATTGTGTGGGAGTTTTGAGTCTTTCGAAGCCATAAGGTCTTTCGTCGTCTGGGTTTAGGGTTGAGGTATGCGCTCAGCAACGTTCCCCATTCATTCATGCGCTTGGGAATGCTGGCATATCAACACTCACCAGCAGATTCACACCCCGCACAATCCATGGCAGAGCATTTGCTATCTTTCCATGCTCAATGATGCAGACATACATGCGCTTGGGCTTGCTGGCATGTCAGCACTCACCACCAGAAGAACCACACCGCGCACAAAGCATGCCAGATCATTTGTGGCGCCTCAAAACTAAACTGTGCACATGTTTTGAGGCGCCTCAAAACTAAACTGTGCACATGCTTCTACGTTTTTGTGTGTTCATGCTCGCTGGTTTGGCCAGGGCAGTGCGGGCAGTCGAGGAACAACAGCAATGGCTCGGCGTATGATGCTGCTGGCACAGGTGGGATGAATGCATGCCTGGTTCGATTAGCAACTAGGGGTGAGAGACGAATAGTGAGGGCAGGGCAGTGCAGGCTCGGCGTATGATGCTGCTGGCACAGGTGGGATGAATGCATGCCTGGTTCGATTAGCAACTAGGGGTGAGAGACGAATAGTGAGGGCAGGGCAGTGCAGGCTCGGCGTTTGATGCTGCTGGCACAGGTGGGATGAATGCATGCCTGGTTCGATTAGCAACTAGGGGTGAGAGACGAATAGTGAGGGCAGGGCAGTGCAGGCTCGGCGTATGATGCTGCTGGCACAGGTGGGATGAATGCATGCCTGGTTCGATTAGCAACTAGGGGTGAGAGACGAATAGTGAGGGCAGGGCAGTGCAGGCTCGGCGTTTGATGCTGCTGGCACAGGTGGGATGAATGCATGCCTGGTTCGATTAGCAACTAGGGGTGAGAGACGAATAGTGAGGGCAGGGCAGTGCAGGCTCGGCGTATGATGCTGCTGGCACAGGTGGGATGAATGCATGCCTGGTTCGATTAGCAACTAGGGGTGAGAGACGAATAGTGAGGGCAGGGCAGTGCAGGCTCGGCGTTTGATGCTGCTGGCACAGGTGGGATGAATGCATGCCTGGTTCGATTAGCAACTAGGGGTGAGAGACGAATAGTGAGGGCAGGGCAGTGCAGGCTCGGCGTTTGATGCTGCTGGCACAGGTGGGATGAATGCATGCCTGGTTCGATTAGCAACTAGGGGTGAGAGACGAATAGTGAGGGCAGGGCAGTGCAGGCTCGGCGTATGATGCTGCTGGCACAGGTGGGATGAATGCATGCCTGGTTCGATTAGCAACTAGGGGTGAGAGACGAATAGTGAGGGCAGGGCAGTGCAGGCTCGGCGTTTGATGCTGCTGGCACAGGTGGGATGAATGCATGCCTGGTTCGATTAGCAACTAGGGGTGAGAGACGAATAGTGAGGGCAGGGCAGTGCAGGCTCGGCGTTTGATGCTGCTGGCACAGGTGGGATGAATGCATGCCTGGTTCGATTAGCAACTAGGGGTGAGAGACGAATAGTGAGGGCAGGGCAGTGCAGGCTCGGCGTATGATGCTGCTGGCACAGGTGGGATGAATGCATGCCTGGTTCGATTAGCAACTAGGGGTGAGAGACGAATAGTGAGGGCAGGGCAGTGCAGGCTCGGCGTTTGATGCTGCTGGCACAGGTGGGATGAATGCATGCCTGGTTCGATTAGCAACTAGGGGTGAGAGACGAATAGTGAGGGCAGGGCAGTGCAGGCTCGGCGTTTGATGCTGCTGGCACAGGTGGGATGAATGCATGCCTGGTTCGATTAGCAACTAGGGGTGAGAGACGAATAGTGAGGGCAGGGCAGTGCAGGCTCGGCGTTTGATGCTGCTGGCACAGGTGGGATGAATGCATGCCTGGTTCGATTAGCAACTAGGGGTGAGAGACGAATAGTGAGGGCAGGGCAGTGCAGGCTCGGCGTTTGATGCTGCTGGCACAGGTGGGATGAATGCATGCCTGGTTCGATTAGCAACTAGGGGTGAGAGACGAATAGTGAGGGCAGGGCAGTGCAGGCTCGGCGTTTGATGCTGCTGGCACAGGTGGGGTGGTGGCTGGCTCGCTCAGCCATTAGGGGTGAGACGAGTAGTGTGGGCAGGGCAGTGCTATCTGCTTGATTCAGACATGTCTCAATGAGAACGTATGTTTTTTTAGAATTCTCAAAAAGCATGTCTGAATCTAGTGTGGGCAGGGCAGTGCTATCTGCCTGGCTGGGCAGAACATGCACTGGGTCTCTTTTTTGAGGCGCCTCAAAAATCAGAACATGCACTGGGTCTCCTGACAGATGCTTGTGCAGTCAGCTTTATCAGAATCGTATCTGGGATTTATCGAAAGCGATTCACACCTGTCTGTCTGTTTCTCTCTGCTGTCTGTTTCTCTCTGCCGTTGACGCTAACAGATGCTTGTGCAGTCAGCATCAGCACCAGCAGCCACCCTCCCCGCAACTGCGGCTATCAATGGACAGCGGCAGGGGCAGCAGGGGCAACAGCAGCAAGGGGACGGTGGCAGCAGTAGAGGTGGAGACGCGGAGTTGCTGAGGGAGGCTGAGAGGTTGCAGAGACGAGCCATCCATGCGGTTGAGATGGGTGAGGTGAGTCAACACCAATCCCTGCATGCTCGCCCTGCACTGCATTCTATGCAGCATTCTCTGCAAACTCTCTATTTGCTGCATTTGCAGCATTCTCTGCACGGCAGGGCACAGATGCACCCCTACATGCTCCCGCCTCCATACATTGCCCTTGAACTCACTGCCACAACCCTCTCTTCGTTTCTGGCAGGGCACAGAGGCACCAGCTCTGGCAGGCATGCTTGCATCGCTGGCTGCTACTCTTGAGAAGCAAGGCCGACTAGAGGAGGCACGGGAAGCGTTGCTCAGGTGATTTATGGGTTTCCTCAGGTGCGTTTTGTGTTTTCGTCAGGTGGTTTATGAATTTCCTTCTCAGTTGACTGATGGGTTTCTTTAGGTGACTCTTTGTCCCCTTCAGGTTATTGTTCTCTTCTTCAGGTGATAATAGTGTGTTCTGTGATTCTAGGTTGCCTTTCATTTTATCCTCGGCTTATCCCCCTTGTTGCATCGTTCTGTCATTCCGTTTTTGAGATTTCTGGAAAGTGACTCAGATATCGTGTATAAAGAAGATTTTTGAGACGTCTCAAAGAAAAGTGACTCAGATATCGTGTCGTTCCGTTCTTCCCTCTCACTTGCACATTTGCTTCTCTCTGTCTCTCCTCCCCATCTACCTCCCCATTTGCCTTCCCACCTTGGTCTGCTCTGCAGGTCCCTCCACCTGAGGCGGTCTGCACTTGGCGCGGACCATTTCCTTGTGAGTGGGCTAGGAGAGGGTGAGAGAGGGAATTGAGGGAGGGATGGAATTGAGGGAGGGAGGGATTTGAGAGAGGGGAAAGGGACACATAGTGAGGCTGGCGGAGGGGCCTGTTAGTCTTTGTGAGGCGGACTGCTCTTGGCACAGATCGTTTCCTTGTGAGTGGGCTAGGAGAGGGTGAGGGCGGAGATGGGAAGTAGGTGGGGGGGAAGTGTGTGACGGAGGTGTGGGATTGTCACATGGAGACTAGCACAGGTTGATACAGGTTTGGATTGTTACTGTGCTGATATAGCATGTTTTTCAGGCGTCTTCATATTGGTTATTGTGATGAAGAAAAGGTATGTTTTGTTTATCCTTTTTGCTACCCTTCAAGCCGAACACCCTCCTCATCCATCCATACATCCATCCATCCATCCGTCCGTCCGTCCATCCATCCATCCATCCATCCATCCATCCATCCATCCATCCATCCATCCATCCATCCATCCATCCATCCATCCATCCATCCATCCATCCATCCATCCATCCATCCATCCATCCATCCATCCATCCATCCATCCATCCATCCATCCATCCATCCATCCATCCATCCATCCATCCATCCATCCATCCATCCATCCATCCATCCATCCATCCATCCATCCATCCATCCATCCATCCATCCATCCATCACTCTATCGATGCATTTTATTATCCACTCTCCCACGGTCCCACCCACCCACCCACCCATCCACCCATCCACCCCTCCATCTCTACAGGTAGTCAGCACACTCACTCCGCTCGCTGCAGTCACTCTCAAGATGCTGAGTCGCCCGCAACAGCAACCCCCTACAGCTAGAGGTGCTGCTAGGAACACCGCTATGCCAAACAGCTGCTAGGTGCCGCACCTGCACATTCAGGGTTCCATGCTCCGCTCAACATTCAACAGGTTTCCTCTGGTATACCTGGTATACATGCTCTGGTATAGCTGCTGGTGTAGCTGGTGGCATGCCTGTTATACGGGCTGCAAAACATGCGTCCATGCACAGAGGAATATTGTCACTGCTGCACCGGACAAGTCACAGTCATTCAAGTCATTGAGAATCCCCTCTGCACCGTGCATGCAGAAGCGGCCAAGGAAGAGAGAACAAAGGATGGCGAGGAGAAGGAGCAGCTTGAGGAGGCACTTCGTGACCTGCACTGTGCTCTCAGGTGCCCTTCTTCTGTCTGACCATGCATGTATATGTCTCACTCAAGTGCTCTTGGTCTCGGCTCTCTATACTGTGTCTGACTGACGCGACTGTTCTCATGTCATTAGACTGCTCTTGTCTCAATGCGTTCAACTCAACCACCTGCATCTTCAGCCACCGCCCGTTCCACACTCGTGTGGAAAGGGGCAAGTAAATCTTGACAGAGCCCTTATTCTCTTACTTGGCCATGTCATGGCCCTGCTGCCCCCCTCACTTCTCACTGGTCCATCAGAGTCGCTCGCAAGGCTTGTCAGCAAGCAGCGGAGGAGCTGACAGCTGCGGCAGCAGCAGGCGACGCGGGAGGCAGGAGGGGAGATCGGGTGCAGAGAAACAAGACCAAGAACAAGAGCAGGAGCAGGAACACACCGCCCCCACCCGCCTGCCTCACGCTACTCGTGAGTGGATGCTCCTGGGTGTCTCCCACCAAGGCTTTCACCAAGAGGTTGCGTACCCTCTTTGCGTACCCAGAAGATGTTGCAGAGCGTGTTTGAAGATGTTGAGAATTCTAAAAAAACACGCTCTCCTGGGTGTCTCCCACCAAGGCCATGAAGGGATGCAAGGCCTTCTTTTTCTTCCAGGATAACGCGTCTAGCACGTTTCTATGACTCCCTGTTTCTCATGCAGCTGCCATTACCATTGCCTCGACTAACCACTTACCCTTTTCGTCACCTCCCTTCCATCTTTCGCCCTCCCCCTACTGGCCACCCCCATCCCATCCGACTTTTGAGTCGACTCAAAAGTCATCTTTCGCCCTCCCCCTACTGGCCACCCCCATCCCATCCGTACAGGTAGAGTCTCTGGCAACATCAGTACAGGCCTCCCTCACTGCCCTGCTATCCGCATCCTTCCACACTGTCAGTAAAGACCTCTCTCACTCACTGCCCTAGACATGCGTTACAGTCGTTTGACTCTGGTTTATCCATGCCTGCCATCCGCTGTTACTGTTTACTGTTTAGCATCGCTCAAAGCATGGGCGGGCTTTTTTCAGGCCTTGGAAGGAGAAACATCTTTCACTGACAGACACTCGCCTTGTGCTTTACCTTCCCAGTCTTGTGGTTCTTACCTTGTCTAATTCTTTATCCCCACCAGCAGAGGCAGCAACTGTCACAGCGTGCAGCATCGGATCTCAAGGAGCTTCTGCACATGCTCTCCACTGTGAGATGTCGCCCCTCACTTTCTTGTTATTCATTGTGAATTCTCGGTAATTTCTAATTTATCGCTTGCCAGCACTAGCCCGTGTGGGTTCCAGCTTTGTGTCTAATTTTTCACCACAGCATGCAAATCGCCTGCTAGTTCACCCTCCAGCACCTCTCCGCATTCCTCCGGGAACAGCCCAGCTCCCATCCCCGCTCCTCCCTCTTTCCCCCTCCCCCCCCTTTCCACCAGGAGCCAGCACGAGCCCTATTGGGTTCCAACCACAGCGTGCGAACCGCCTGCTTGTCTGCCCTCCAGCACCTCTCCGAATTTCTTCGGGACCAGCTCACAGACACCGGTGCTTGTGTGGAGGCAGCGAGTCATGGTGCTGGGGAGAAGGCATGTGTGCAGAGTGGTGGAGAGAGGTTGCGAGAGAATAGGAAGGGTTTGATGGATGTTAAAGAGGGAGGCGTCGGAAGCCGTCAAGACGGTGAAGGCGAGGAAGGAAGAGGAATTCGAGAACCTGATGAAGGAACTCGCATGATGGAGCTGAGGAAGCTAGCTGAGCAGATGAACTTGCTTATTACATCAATGGCTAGATGACGTTCCATGTGAGCAGGTTTTTCTTGTACCAAAACCAAATTAGATACACTGTATCTAATGCTTTTGTACATGTCCTGAACTTGGTTCTGCAAGCGAATCAAGAGGTTACTCGGGCGAAATGTTTTGAACTGAGTGGCAGTCGGTACTGTTCGGTACGGCGTGGTGGAGTAGGAGAAAGACGAGATACTTCGGTTTACACCTATCCGAACCAGATCCTCTGACCTAGCCCAACTAAGGAAAGACTGGCTCCAAGTGTACAGTCAATTATTGCAGTCACTACTGTCTTCAGTCCAGTCTGTTCGCAGTCACGCTTCCAACTTTCACGCGCTCCTCCTTTGCCGATCGCTCTCCTCCACTTGCCTCCTTCATTCCAAAGCGCTCGTCGAATTCGCCGGCTGTCGATTACGCGGGCTACGCTAAACGACCTTCACCGCGAATATGTTTCGAGGGGTGTTCGGCCGGTATGCAGCCCGTGAAGCCTCGTTCCTAAAAAAGCCGTGCCTACCATGCTTCCCCACCGCTAAGAACCTTGTTCCCCCTCTCAGTGTCGCTTCTTTCCGCTTCCAGCCATCTCCCTGTCGCCGTCATATTCTACTTAGCTCCGTCGATCTTTCAACATGTAGAATCCTTACTCGAACGAACTTCCGTTTTCCGTTGCCTCCCCCACACTCACTACTCCTAATTTCCCCCCACCCGTTCTATCCCTTCCCCCAGCGCGCCTGACCCTCCGCCGAGCCAACCGACTCCCCCTCAGGCTCCCCCCGCGCACACCAACCCGCTCTCCGCGCATTCATACCCTTCCCCCTCCCCCAACGCGCCCGGCTCCGCGGAAGCCGCCGCCGCCGCAGCTGCCGCCGCTGCTGCTGCTGGGGGTCCGCGGCAATATCAAGAAGCGAGAGACGTGGGGAGGGCCGGCGGCGGCGGTGGCAGGGGAGGGGGGAACTTAGGGGGAGGGGGAGGCTACGGCGGAGGGGGGAGTTACGGGGGTGGGGGGGATCAAAGGGGACCTGCGGGAAGGGGTGGGGGAAGAGGGGGGAGTTTAGGGGGAGAAGGAGAGATGGGGGGGATGGGGGGGTATTCGGGTGGGCCCCCACCTATGGGTATGGCACAGGGAGGGATGGGAGGGGTGGGAGGCATGGGAGCGGTGCAGCAGCAACTGTTACCCGTGCTTGAAAGCAAGAGGTGAGGATATGGGAAGATTTGGCAGGCTTTTGTTGCAAGAGATGAGGATGTGGCAATAGTTCCTTTCTGTCATGTGCTGGTGGTTCTACCGTTGAATGCTCTCATTCATCCCTGGAACGCTGCTGCCTGCTGCTAAAGTCTTCTCTATCCTTCTCGTTTCTTCCTTTCCCTCCCATCCCATCACCCCTCCTGACTCCTTCTCTGCCCCCTCGCCCCTTCTTAAAGCCCGGAGGAGCTATTTCAGCTTCTGACGGACCCCAAGTCGTATCAGCAGCTGCTGGAGGAGATGCCGCAGCTTAAAGAAATGACCAAGGTACATGACCTCTTACATGCTAGGTCGGCGGTGCATGGCGGTGTGAGGTAGGGCATAGAGGAGCTATAACGGAACCCAAGGCTAATGAGAGAAGATGCCACAGCTCAAGGAGATGACCAAGGTACGCCATTTCTTGTGTGCGCCGTGGTGCGTGGACGGGCAGTGTGATACACATGCAACCTGTTGTGTGCATTCGTTCATTTGCTTTTCTGCGTAATCCATCAAACTGTGTGTCGTCTTTTCCTATTTCACCTCTGTATGTCACTCCGCTCATGTTCCTGCACTGCACATGCCTTATCACTCCAGGTGGTGGATGACCTAAAGAAGGGCAACGAGGAACTCGCCAGTGAGTCGCCATCTCCCTCCCTCCCTGACCTCACACCCACATGTGCAGTCCTTTCTTTTCGATACACCTGCAACCGCTCTCAACCTGCCTGCATTTACTTAATATTTGAGTTCACTCAGCAGACAGCTGCATTGTCACAGTTCATGTAACTTGGATTCGCGTTCATTATTGTTCCTTTCCCCCTTGTGCTGTTCTTATGTTGACACTGTTCACTCCCCCTGCAGGGTCGACTCTGGCAATGGAAGCAGACATGTCCGAGCTGAGAACACAGGTATTAGAACCACCTCCATGGTAACATGGTAACCCCAAACGTGTCGGCTGTACTGTTAGTCTTTAAACTTCCTGTCGCCAACTTCTAAGTCTCTGTGTCCCTCTATTTCCAACCCTCCATTGTGCCAGTGTCGCATCATTAGGGGCACGGAGCTGGCTTCTCTGGAAGAGAGGTTGGCGCAGATGGTGGAGCAGCAGAGGGCTCTCACGGACAAATGGAGTCCTGGAGCTCTCGTGCAACAGTTGAAAGGTACATTGTACATGTATACTGTAGTAGTTTTTTGTTTTGGTATTTATATGTTAATGTACCTATGTCGCCAGGTTGCCAGACTGAAGTTCCACACGAGAAATTTTGCGGTTCTGATTGTTTGTTTTTTCTGTGTGGCCCACACTCATTTGCTTTGTTTCTTGACCAGATAAAGCAGAGGAAGTAAATCGGGAGGCGGAGGATTTGAGGAGCAGGTTTCTTGCAGGGGAGGTGGAGTTGAGTCTATTCATGAGGGAATACCGGAAGAAAAAAGAGCTTTATCACCGGCGCATGCAGACTTGCTATGCGGCTTTGTCCACACTTACGCTGGATCACCGTGGGCCTTAACTCAGGCAGTAAGAGAGTACTCATAGTTCCCTTGTTGGTTATGGGTAGAAGCCATCTAGGTGGGAGTGAAATGTATATTGGATTCTCAAAATGTGTAAGCGAAGCTGGGTACAGTCAGGCATCAGTTGGGCTTATGAGTTCATCCGAAGACGACGAGCTTTACCGAGATCGACGACGTGCAACAGATCTCGCGAATGGTTTTGCGAGGGATGGTTGGTGGTGAGCGCGCTCGGCAATCCCAATGGCCTGATCATTCTGTTTCCTCCAGTGGCCTTTTCGAACATTCGCCTCGCCAGTGGCCTGTTCCGCCTGTCTCCTACCCTACGTCCTGTTTGTCCCTCTGTTCCTCCTTAGACCTAGACAGCACGACGCAAAACTGTTCCTCTTTAGAGCCTAGAGCATTACGAAACGACTATATTGATGTCCCCAACAGGTTCCTTATCGACCTTATCTGCCGCTGACCGGATTCTTCGTCGCGTCTCACGGCCGTAGACTCTAGGCTTTCGCGCATTCACTCTGACAGAAAACCAGGATGGTCAGTAATTCGTTTCGTCAGCTGTGGTTGTTTCCGGCCTTTCGGCACTTGTCAGAAACGACTGTCGATTTTTTAGCTCGGCATGTCATCACAATGACACGGTTTCGAATATTTAATCGTGATATTTGCGTTTCCTTTCCATCGCGATCATGAATCAAAATGCCACGCCACTCTGCTGCTGGTTCATTTCTGCATTGTCTCAATCGAACCTTTTCCGTCGGTTGGTCCCTACATGAATTCGCATTTGATCCCGTTTCACAACTGAATTCCAATCCGTGATTTTCCGCTGCTGTAACTTTTGCGGTGCTTCCCCACAGGAAAGTCGCTTGCGACTGCTGACGATCGCTTTCGTCATCTTCCTCCTCGCTTCGCCGGACTTCGCCAGCGCCGAAGTGAAAACCGCGGAGGACTCGAAGGAGAAAGATCAAGGCGAAGGGTCAGGCGATGAAGGAAAGGCTGCAGCGGGGAAACGATCGTCTGAGGAGAATGCATCCTCGTTAGAAGACAGAATCCTGGATGCGGAACTTACGCAAGGAGACATTCTCAAGCAAGGTGTGGCATTTCTAGGAGAATGTCGCTGTTCTCGCAGTCACTTTTCTCAAAAGGCCAGACGCTATTCAGGAGTTCCAGCCAGCAATCCTCGTCAGCAGTCCCATTCAGCAATCGCAGTCAGTAGCCACAATGAGAAGTTAGCAGGCGCGAGTCAACGCGAGTCAACCTGAACAGTTAGTGGGCCTGTTGGCATCAGGCGACCGCAATGTAAAGCAAGGACGAAGCTTCTTGAATACCCTAGGCCAAGCTTGTATCTGACACATTTCGGCCAAACCAAACGACCTAGTGTTGTTGCTTGGATCCAACGCACCTGTGATGCTGTACCATGATAGACCGAGCTGTGTGCTGACGTGGCATGGTGCACGTGTGGGGTGGGTGGGGTGCATGCATGCACGTGGGCGCGTCCTGCAGGGCCATGCGCGGACGAGGCGGGGCGGTTCTGTGTCGACGTGGAGGTGGGCAATCGAACGATGGAGCGGTGCCTCACCATGCAGTACACGCTGCTGCAGCTCGCGTCCACCACTGATGGCAAGTACCAACTTCAACATCCCATCCCTTTCGTTGTACGCTTTGACCTTGACTGGGAAGGGGTGTTTGCCACAGGACCCATCGTTTAGTCCCCTCATTCCAGCCTTTTCTGGCGTCTTGCTTGGTTTCCCTCTGGCTTCGCTCTTTCCTCTCGCCCGCCTTCACTTCACAGCCAACCTCACGGATAACTTCTCCGACAAGTGTCTGGATGACATCCGCAACTTCAAGATCCAAGTCTACAAGAACATCTCCATCGACAAAGAGTGGAGTGAGATTTCCTTCCTCCATCGCTCCTCGTTTTCTGTGCTGCATATTCAGCGGCTCCTCAAACGCTGACCTTGCGCCCTTCCCAACCTCGTCCTCCCCGCTCATTCTTCTGCTCTGATCGTGCCCCAAACTCCCCTACCTACCCCCCTCACCCAAATGCCAGTGGAGGACTGCAAGGAGGACGTGGCGTCCTTCTGTGACGACAAGTTCCTCCTTCTGTTCTGCAATGCATGCTCAGCAGAAGGCTCTCACTCATTAATTCCGCCCCATCCCCACACCCGTGCCCTCCTCCCCCTCACCCGAATGCCAGTGGAGGACTGCAAGGAGGACGTGGCGTCCTTCTGTGACGACAAGTTCCTCTACCCCGGAGTCGGCAGCGTGCTCGCATGCCTACGGTGGGTGTGTGTGTCTCTGATTGTACGCGCGTGCGTGCGTGTGTGTGCGTGGGGGGTGGGGTTGGGTGAGGGAAAGGGGGGGGAGCTGTCCCACTTCCCCGCTTTCTGCCATGCTCTCCCCATTGTCATGCACAACCATCCTCCCCACCTTCCTCTCTTGCCGCCCTCCATCCTCCTCCTTTCTCTCCCATGACTGCACGGAGGCAAAGACACGTGAGCGCCTGTCTGATTTGTGCAAAAAGCCCATGTCTGAAGTGCAGAGGGATGCAGCAGCAGACATCCTGTCCTCCTGCCTATGTTGCAATATACGCGACTGGCGTACCAGTCGCGTTCGCACTATACGCCAACGTACGAACGTCGTACGATGGATTTCCGCCCCCTCGGTCGGTACGCTCAAAATGCGGTGTCCCGGGCAGGGGAAAAAAAGTTCCGGGCAGGGGAAAAAAGTGTAAGGGAGTGAGTGATGGTCCCTATAGTCGAAGCTGCTGACGCGAAAGCCAAAGTGTGGTTGGAAGGGAAGGGTTGGGTTTGGGAGGTGGTGTGAGGTTATGTGTGGCGGAAGGGGGGGTGGAAGCCATTCGACTTTCAAATGTCAAAATTAGGTTACGGAGAATCACAGATCGCGAGAACGGTCGCAACAGATTTTATTTTTTCGACGGGCTGCCCGTCCAGGCGTACCGCGTATTTGTCCCCGTATCACGTTTTTGCATTTATACGTGAACGCATAAACGTGAAACGAAAAACAGGCCAAGCGTATAGTGCAACATAGCCTCCTGCCCCGTTCTCCTCTTGCCGTGTTCACTTCTCCCATCTCCCCCTACGTCTATCCCTAATCAATTGCAGGGAGGCGAAGGCGGGCGAGCGCCTCTCTGACCTGCGCAAGAACCACATGTTTGAGGCGCAGAGGGATGCGGCAGCAGAACTCCCCCTTCCCTCCGCCGCCCCCTACTCCCCCAACCCATTCGTTTTGACCTTCTATCCCATGACTGCAGGGAGGCGAAGGCGAGCGAGCGCCTGTCAGACCTGTGCAAGAACCGTGTGTTTGAGGCGCAGAGGGACGCGGCAGCAGACATGGCGTTTGACCCACAGCTCAACCAGACGTGCGCTGCCGACGCCCAGAGGCTGTGCAAAGGAGTGCCCGCAGGGGAGGGGCGTGTTCAGGACTGCCTGGTGAGTGTCCCCCCCTTGATTGGGTGTGACTGGTGGGTTGAGGGAGTGGGGCTGGCTGGCTGTATGTGTGAGCGTGGCTGGAGGAGTGAGGGAGTGTGACCCGTGCAGGGGAGCAGGAGGAGCCAGGTGTTTTTTGAGGCGCAGAGGGACGCGGCAGCAGACGTGGCGTTTGACCCGCAGCTCAACCAGACGTGCGCTGCCGACGCCCAGAGGCTCTGTAAAGGGGTGCCTGCTGGGGAAGAGCGCGTTCAGGACTGCTTGGTGAGTGCACCACCTGTGACTGGTGGTGGGTGGTTGATTGGGCGTGATTTGGTATGATTGCTGCAGAAAATCTTTGCACTAACTCAACCTGTCCACATCTGCTTTCCCCCAAAACTGCCCCTCCACTTCCCCGCTCCGTCTGTGTGACTGACCCACTCCTCCCGCATTCCTCCATCACTCCTCCTCATTCCGCCTGCCCTCTGCCAGCGCCAGCAGCGCACGAGTCTGAGCTGGTACTGCTGATTGTTGCTTCCACCAACCACCCACCCCCCCCGCATTCCACCCCCCCCGCATTCCACCCCCTCCACTCCTCCCGCATTCCTCCACCACTCCTCGCCATTCCCGCTGCCCTCTGCCAGCGCCAGCAGCGCACGGGTCTCAGCTGGGACTGCATGTCGGAGCTGTTCCGGCAGGAGGTGGAGGGGTCAGGAGACATCCGCCTCAACGTGCGCCTCTTCAAAGGTGAGCCTCCATCTGTTAAAAGGTGAGCAGCAGCAGCAGCACGGCAAGAAGCGCGTCAGGCTGCGCAGCGACACCAGTCTCAGTTGCTGCAGCTTGACGTTTGGGTTGTTTGGACAGGGTATTGGGGGTCTCATGGGTTGTCTGCTACTTTCAAGGTGAGAGCACTGCATTGTACCAGCCTCACTTGTTGGGACTCTGTTGGAGCTTCAAACCCTTCTTTCAACCTTCTACTCTACTCCTCCTCTTCCCCTCTCCCCTTTTCCTATTCCTCTTTCCCCCTTTTCTCTATCTCCTCACTCACCAGAATGTCCACATCGCAGGACAAGCGGCGCTTTTGCCGTTATGTGCCCCCCCTCACGCATGGGTGAAGTGACTTTTGAGTCGACTCAAGAGGCACTTATGCCCTGATGTGCCCCCCATTGTCGCGCGTGTGAACAACTGCCTGGAAGAGCACCGTCTCGTCTCCTCACTTCCGCCCTCTTCTCCCCCCTCCCTTCCGCCCGCCTCCTACTCTTTCCCCACGTGCGCCAGCTTGTCTGCAGGACAAGAGGCGCTTCTGCCCCGACGTGCCGCCCGGGGATGCGCGGGTGAAGGACTGCCTGGAGGAGCACCGGCTGGAGGCTGACTTCTCCAAAGGCTGGTGAGAACGGGCACCGGCTGCATGGGGCAATGGGGGAGAGGTGTGGGGGGGCCGGGGAGGGATGGTATCAGGGGACTTGGGACGTGCATAGGGAAGTAAAATGATGCGATTTTGTGGAGTGAAGTGAAGTGAGGCGATTTTTTGGGCGCCTCAAAATTGTGTCGCTGTCTGCACTGCTTGCTTGTGGCTCATGCTGTGCTTGCTGAATGGGCTGGCTTGGGACATGGCATGGCATGATATGATATTGCATGATGTGGCATGGCCTGGTGACATGGCATTATCTGACGTGGCAGCAAGGTGGAGTTTGACAAGATGATGGAGAGGCGCGCATCAGACTTCAGGCTGGATTTCAACCTGCAGAAGTACTGCCACAAAGACATTGTCGAGGTAAGGCCGCTCAAACATCCTGCTCCTCAAACGCACCTCCCAGGCTCTCCCCACCCACACGCACCTCTCCCCACCCACACGCACCTCTCCCCACCCACACGCACCTCTCCCGACCCACACGCACCTCTCCCCACCCACACGCACCTCTCCCCACACGCACCTCTCCCCACACGCACCTCTCCCCACACGCACCTCTCCCAACACCACACCACACGCACCTCTCTTTCAGACTTCAGGCGGGATTTCAACCTGCAGAAGTACTGCCACAAAGACATTGTCGAGGTACCCTCCTGCATGCATCCTGCTGCAAGCAGCAATTGCACCCCCCCTGCCACCTCGGCTACTTTCTGCCATTCCTCCTCCCAACAGCCTGCTGCATGCGGAAGCTCTGCGCTCCCCTCGTATGGATTTTGAATTCTACTTGTAAGAGAACACTTGTTCTTTTGTACCCTTCCTCCCTTCCAACACGCGCTTTTTTCGCCCTCTTGCGGCTCTCTTGCCACTGCTTGCCGCCGCTGTGCCATGCAGACGTGCTACCAGGATGCGTCAGACATGACGGGGGCGGGGGGTAGTTCAGACGCCAAGGTGATCCAGTGCCTGCAGGACTACAGGGACGAGCTCAAGGACCCGCGCTGCAGGCAGCAGGTAAGATGTGGTGTGGTGCGGTGGAGTGCGGTGGGGTGCGGTGGGCTGTGGTGGAATGCGGTGAAATGGGGTTCACCTGCGTCAGACATGACAGGGGAGGGAGGGGGGGGTAGTTCAGACGCCAAGGTGATCCAGTGCCTGCAGGACTACAGGGACGAGCTCAAGGACCCGCGCTGCAGGCAGCAGGTGAGAGATGGTGTGGTGCGGTAGAGTGGGATGGGTTGGGTTGGGGTTGGGTTGGGGTTAGGGGTGGCTGGGATGGTGTGGGTGGGAGGAGGGGGGGATGGGGTTGGTTGTGGGGGCTGGGATGGAAGCATAGTGCTTGAGTCGATTCAAGTCATGGAACCGTGGGGTTAGGTTTCTGAGGCGCCTCAAGATCTGTGGGGTTAGGTTTCTTCACCAGGACCTCCGTTATGCTTTCCCCTCCCATGCGTCCTTTCCCCTCCCATGCGTCCTTTCCCCTCCCATGCGTCCTTTCCCCACCCATGCGTCCTTTCCCCTCCCATGCGTCCTTTCCCCTCCCATGCGTCCTTTCCCCTCCCATGCGTCCTTTCCCCTCCCATGCGTCCTTTCCCCTCCCATGCGTCCTTTCTCCACTGTGTTGTGCCTCCTCTCCTCTCCTCTCACACATGCGCTCGCAGGTGCATATGCTGACCAAGAGAGCTGCAGAGGACATTCGTTTTGACCGCGCTCTGGTTGAAGCGTGCAAAGGTGCGGTGGCTCTGAAATGAGGCAAATGAAGGTGTGGAATTAGGCATGCATTGGCGGGTCTTTTTTCAGCCTAGAAAATGACTATGCTTCCTGTAGGTGAGCTTCGAAAATGTCACCCGCATTTGCGGCAAAGCATGCAAAGGCGTGGCACTGGCGATAGGCAGTGCATTGTGCAGCAGTGCCCATGTAGCAGAAGGGTGTTCATGTGCCTGCAGGAATCCCGCCCAGACCCCTGTGCTTCCCTCTTCCTCCCCTCTCTGCCCTCCTTGAATGACAGACGACTGGCAGGAGCACTGTGCGTCAGTGCCCAAGGGGCAGGGAAGGGTTTTCATGTGCCGGCAGGACTCTCTCCTAGTCCCTCACACTCCCCGTCCCCTACCTATCACCCCCACACACCAGACGACTGGCAGGAGCACTGTGCGTCAGTGCCCAAGGGGCAGGGAAGGGTGTTCATGTGCCTGCAGGACAACCGGGGGAAACTCAAGGGTCCGTGCAAGGAGGCGCTCTTCCGAGAGGTGCGATGCGGTAGCATCTGGTTGGGTGCGGGCATTGGACAAGAGTGAAGGATCGGTGAGGGTGGTTGCAGGGTTCGGGGGCTGAGCTTGGGTTCTTGCGACGTGTGGGTTTGGTGAACGCAGGTGAGTGAATAGGTAGAAAGGGCTGCATGGTTCAGAAGAACGGGTTGCATGGTTCATAGGAAAGGGTTGCATGGTTCATAAGAAAGGGTTGCATGGTTCATAAGAAAGGGTTGCATGGTTCATAAGAAAGGGTTGCATGGTTCATAAGAAAGGGTTGCATGGTTCATAAGAAAGGGTTGCATGGTTCATAAGAAAGGGTTGCATGGTTCATAAGAAAGGGTTGCATGGTTCATAAGAAAGGGTTGCATGGTTCATAAGAAAGGGTTGCATGGTTCATAAGAAAGGGTTGCATGGTTCAGAAGAAAGGGTTGCATGGTTCATAAGAAAGGGTTGCATGGTTCATAACAAAGGGTTGCATGGTTCATAAGAAAGGGTTGCATGGTTCATAACAAAGGAAGAACTTATCTCGCTGCACCTATTTGCAGCGCAGCCCATGAGTCCATGCTTGAGGCAAAAAGGCGAAGAAAAGACGCCAGGCATGGTCGGACGAGCCGGGACAAGCTGGGAACTTTTATTTCTGCCCCCTCTCCCCCTCCATGCTCACAGGAGGTGCGGTTCCGGAGGACATAGACTTCAAGTTTGCCATCCGCACGGCGTGTCTGCTGACGTGCCGGGAAGAATATGTGTTTCTTTCAGCTCCCCTCGTCACCATTCCCCTCCCATTCCCCCTTCCTAATCCCCCCTCTCTGCCTGCCTGCTCGCAGGAGGTGCGGTTCGCGGAGGACATAGACTTCAAGTTTGCCATCCGCAAGGCGTGCTCGGACGAGCTGCAGCGCCTCTGCAAAGGTGGGTGCCACAGCAGCTCTGCCAAGGTTGTTTCGACTATTGATGCACTAGCGCACGTTGAAAGCAAGCCGGCCTCTCATGACAAGGCTGTCAACCACTACGCAATGACAACCTCTTCTCTCCCCCCCCCCCCACCCCTCCCCACTCTCCCCCCCCCCTCCTTTTTTTGTTGTTTTTTTTTTCTTCTTCTTCTTCTTCTTTTCTCACTCATTTGCCATCAAGAGCAGACAAGGAGGACGCGATGGCATGTCTGCAGGAGCACATGGGGGATGCGGACATGAGCAAGGGGTGCAGCGAGGAGGTGAAGAGCGACCAGCAGCACGCTGCAGAGGGTGAGGGGGTAGGGAGCACCCAGGGTGGGTAGGGAGCACCCAGGGTGGGTAGGGAGCACCCAGGGCGGCACAAAGCAGGGGCTTGGATACTTGAGGGCGGACATACTTGAGGGCTGGAACGAGGGGTGCCAGGAAGAGGCGAAGAGCGACCAGCAGCACGCTGCAGAGGGTGGGTTATTAGTGGTTAGAATTCTCAATAGGATATTAGAGGTGACTAGGTTAGGGCTTTTTACCGCCTCTCACTACAACCTTTTTCTCATATAGTCCTGGTATTGATTGGTTGACAAGTACAGGCATGCACATTGGCAAGATAGGTGAGTCTCTTTCTCACTCTCACCCTCAATTTCACCCTCAATCGTATTCGTTATTCCTCGTCCATACCTCGTCGCAATCATTCGCCTCTACCTCTCGCACCCCAACCCCCAACCCCCACCCCCTTCAGACTACCGCCTCAACTTCCGCCTCGCTAGAGAGTGCTTCGCTGACGTGCAGAAGCTCTGCATGCACACATGCGATGAAGGCGCCCTCCTGCCCTCCTCCTCCTCCTCCCCTGCATCCCTGCCGGTCACGTGTGGCGGTGCCACTCTGCGCTGCCTCACCAGCGCCGTTAGCAACATCACCTCTGCCACGTGTCGCGATGAGGTGTTCCACTTCCAGAAGCAGGAGGTCGCTGACGTGGCGCTGGATGTGCCTCTGCAGGTGACGTGGCAGCAGTATGGCTTGGTTTGGATGTCTAGTCATCATGTAGTGCGTGCGTACCCATGCCCTGTCATGCCTTGTCATGCGCTTGTCCATGTAACAATGTATTGCACCATGTAGCATCCCTATGGGGTGCATTGCCTCTCCTCTCTTATCCCTGTTCCTTACTCGTTTCCTATATGAACCTTGGAATTTGGGGGGGAACAGACGGTCCTTAGGCTGTCTGGGATATGATTCACAGATCATATCTCCTCTCCCCTGTTCTTGTGTCTTTCAGGTGGCATGCAGGGAGGACGTGAAGGAGAGGTGTGGGGGCGGTTCCTCTCACAGCAAGGCACTGGCGTGTTCTGAGATGTGTCTACACATGTGTGTGCCTGTGCCCTGCTTGTGTCTACAGGTGGCATGCAGGGAGGATGTGAAGGAGAGGTGTGGAGGAGAGAGGGGCCACAGCAAGGCACTGGCGTGTTCTGACACGTGTCGTAATGTGTCTCCCTGCGCCCTGCTTGTGTCGGTCAGGTGGCATGCATGGAGGATGTGAAGGAGAGGTGTGGGGGCGAGAGGGACCACAGCAAGGCACTGGCGTGCCTGAGGCAGAACAGAGATGCACTGTCAGAGGGGTGCAAGGAGGAGGAGCTGCGGTTCAGTGAGATGGAGGTGGGTAGAAACTCGTCTGGGTGTTCAGGTATGCCTTGGCGACTGTGTGAGGCTGTTAGTAGTACTTGGAGAAGAACATCAAAAGTTTTGCTGTCAGAAGCGTGCAAGGGGGAGGAAGAGCTGCAGTTCAGTGGGATGGAGGTTGTTTGAAATTTGAGTGGGCGCCGGAACATTCCTTAGAGGATTATGTGTGTTGCTTTGTTTGAATCGACTAGGCCCGTTGTCAGGGGGTGCAGAGAGGAAGAGCTGTGGTTCAGTAAGATGGAGATGGGTTCATTGGAGCAGGCCAACATCCTTCCCACCACTAACCCCAGTTCCCCCTTCCCCCCTCCCCTCCTCCCCCCTTTTCCTCCCGCTCTCCCCCTTTTTCCAACCAGGCGTCTGATATCCGCCTCACCCCCACACTCATGAACGCATGTGGCTTGGAGCTGCACCAGTTCTGCCGAAAAGTGCCGCCCGCTGCCGGCCAGGCCTTCCGATGCCTGCAGCTGCACGTGCAGGAGGTATGGTGGCGTGTTGGCTGGTTGCTGTGTGGTGTACAGTGCTCACTTCACATGCACCCGGAAGTGTTGTGGCTGGTGTGTGTGATGAATGGCTGACACCATGAGGTATGGTAGTCGGTTGCAGTCCCCATGTGCTCGTGCCTTTCTCCTTGTCTCTTCCAACCCCTTTTAACCCCTTTCCATCCTTGCAACCCCCTTTCCAACTTCCTCCAATCCTCTTCAACCCCTTCCCCGTCCAACCAGCCTGGTATGAGCGTGGCGTGTTGGTCAGAAGTAGACCTGCAGACAACTCGCCAGTCCAAGTATTACAAGCTATATTGGTGCGACTTTTGAGAAAGTCGCACCCGACTTGTGAGAAATCTCAAAGGCCGCACCAACTCGCCAGTCCAAGTACTACAAGCTGGACGCAGCAGTGAAGCAGCACTGTGGGGACGACATGACACGGCTGAACCCCTTTCAACCCTTTCCAACCCCTTCCTACCTACCCGTTCACCACCCAACCAGCCGGGCATGAGCGTGGCATGCCGGTCAGAGGTGGACCTGCAGACAACTCGCCAGTCAAAGTATTACAAGCTGGACGCGGCAGTGAAGCAGCAGTGTGGGGAGGACGTGGAGCGGCTGTGCAAGGTGGTGGATGAGGGCCGGGAGGGCCACGCGCTCGTGCTCAAGTGCCTCGTGGACTACCAGTCCGACCTCTCTGCCAGCTGTCACACAGAGGTGGGTGCAGTGCGGTGCACTGTGGTTACTTGCTTTAGGGTCTAAGCAGAGATGGGGTAGGGAGGGGCATGCGCTCATGCTCAAGTGCCTCGTGGACTACCAGTCCGACCTCTCTGCTCTGCCAGCTGTCACACAGAGGTGGGTGCAGTGCGGTGCACTGTGGTTACTTGCTTTAGGGTCTAAGCAGAGATGGGGTAGGGAGGGGCATGCGCTCGTGCTCAAGTGCCTCGTTGACTATCAGTCCGACCTCTCAGCCAGCTGCCACACAGAGGTGGGTTGCTTGCTTGCGTCTTTTGAGCCGACTTCCAGTTGAAGGAAGGGAGGGCAATGTGCTGTTTTTTTTTTTTTTTCTCCAAATCCTTCCCACCCTTGCATGCCGATCCAATCCTCTCCCTCCCCCACCCCCCCACCTCCCACTCCTTCAGGTGGCCTATGCAGTGCGCATGGCCCTGTGGATGTACCACCGTGGATCCGACCTAACCAAGGGCTGCGATGCAATCATTGATTCCCGCTGCGCCAACTACACCACCACGAGCGGCAGCAGCAACCGCAGAGCAAGCGTGTCAGGAGCAGTGGTGGGGCAGTACGCGCAGTGTCTGATGGATCAGCCCAAGGAGGCGCTGGGGAATGAGTGTTTGCCGCTGGTGGCGCTGGTGGGGAAGGAGGGCGGGCATGTGGGGGGGGAGATCAGCAGCGAGCTGCTTCAAGAGACCCTCAACAAGATTGCCCTTGTGAGTACAAGGGGAGAGGGATGTATGTGTGCACTTGTGCAGGTGTGGGGGGGTGGGGGGTGCGAGGGAGCGGGGTAAGGTGAGGAAGTTTCTAGGGAAGTGGGAAGATTGCTTGCTTTGCGTGAAGTTCTGGTGGCGTGCTTATCTTCCGGGTTGCGCTTTGGTGATGAGTTGTTTGTTGCCATGCCATGGCCTGTGTGATGCTTGCTGCCTCACTCGACCCCTTGGGTTTTTTTTCCTCGTTTCCCTACTCGGTGTTTCTGCCACCTTTTTGCGTAATGCACATCCCATCCCATGCCTTTCCCCATGGTTTCCCCTGTGGTTTCTCCCATTTCCAGCTTCAGCTCTCTCAAGGTGGATCCTCCAGTTCTGTGGCTTCTCGTTCTGAAGGGCTTGTGTTAACTGGATGGGTGGCATTTACCGCGGTCACTGCGCTAACAGCCCTGCTCCTGGCTGTTGCCTATGGAGTCTACCGCAAGTACTTCGATCCCACGCGCAATTATACGGTTATGGTAAAAGCTGGGGACGTTTGAAAAAAAAAATGATTTCTGTTCAGAGGATTATGTATATCCTGTAACATTTACCAGGCTGGCTGATCAATCTAGGATATAACGTGCAGCAACTTCTAGCTTCAACCAACAATCGGAAAATGAGTCTTACAACGAGTCATGTGGCAACCCATCGACCATGACCACCGCATTTTCACATGACAGTTCGCTGATTTCGCTGTTCTCCTTGCTGGCTGTAGGTTTGGCAGCGACCGCGTGCAATGGCTTGATATCTGTCCATCTGGCCAGGCGGTTCCTTTTGAGTCGACTCATAAGTCAACTCGCTACAATGTCACACGGTGTGTTTTCTACACGGAGAGCAATCGTCGCTTGGAAGTTACCTAAAAGAGTTGGAAATTATTTGATTTCTGCTCATAAGAGTTAGTGTAGTGTAGTGTTTGTTACAGCCCTATAGTACAGCTTCTCCCTGGCCCAGCGAAGGAATGCCTCGCGTGGAGCCCTCGGGATTAGTATATTAGCTCTGGTTTGCTCCTTTTTTCCCTTGTGGTCTGAAGAAGGCTATAAGCCGAAACCGGTTACCGCCAAATTTCTCTACAAGAGATTTTCAAGCAAACATTTTAACTAACAAACTTTTTTACAAGTTGAATCAGTCGCAGCCACGTAAAGACATGGCTCCTATCTGGGGCTCCATTGGACTTACGAAAGATACATCTACGATGGCCGACTACAAATTCAACGCAACAAAACAAACCAACACCAACGCTGACCAAGCTCCTGAAATTCTGAGACCCCTGGAAACATCGCGAAGAACTGCGAACTTCAACACGGGTACTCACAAGAATAAAGAGCCGGTCAGCTCGGAGGATTTCTCATTCGAAACTCCTTCGGCTTCCAGACCCAGCAAAAGGAGAGCTCTCGACACTCCAACACCTACTCTAGCAGGGACTTGTCAAATTATAATGTTGTGTAGGCTGTAGTGGGGTAGCCTTTATGGGGTACACAATGCTAGGGTTGCATACTTGTATCACTTTCATTCCTTAGTCATTCATTCTCGTTTCAGTATTCACATGGTATCGAGCAGATTCCCTCGTGGGAACTGTGCCTAGGGCCCACCAAGTCGAAAGTTTTTTTTTTCCTGCGCGGAGCGCGCTCTGCCCGAGTCGCGCTCCCTTCTCTGACTTCGTCGAGCCGCCCTAGCGGCCAAGTCGCGCCGCCTTAGCGGCCCCTGATCCGTCGCCCTACCTGCGCCCCAGCCCCGTCGCCCTACCTGCGCCCCGGCCCCGTCGCCCTACCTGCGCCCCGGCCCGGCGCCCTACATGCGACCCCGGCCCCGTCGCCCCCCTCTTGCGACCCTGGCCCCGTCGCCATACCTGCGGCCCCGGCCCTAGCCCAGTCGCCCTACCTGCGCCCTGGCCCCGGCCCCGTCACCCCGCTTGCGACCCCGGCCCCGTCGCCCCACCTCCGACCCCGGCCCCGTCGCCCTACCTACGCCCCGGCCCCAGCCCCGTCGCCCTACCTGCGCACCGGCCCCGTCGCCCTACCGTCGACCCGGCCCCGTCGCCCTACCTACGGCCCGACCCCGGCCCCGTCGCCCTACCTACGGCCCGGCCCCGGCCCCGTCGCCCTACCTTCGACCCGGCCCCCTCGCCCTACCTACGGCTCGGCCCTGGCCCCGTCACCCTACCTACGGCCCGGCCCCGGCCCCGTCGCCCTACCTTCGACCCGGCCCCGTCGCCCTACCTGCGCCCCGGCCCCGGCCCCGTCGCCCTACATGCGCACCGGCCTCGTCGCCCTACCTTCGACCCGGCCCCGTCGCCCTACCCACGGCCCCGCCTGAACCGCCTACGCAGCCGAGCCGCCCGCGCCGCTGAGCAGCCCGAGCCGCCCGAGCCGCCCGAGCCGCCCGAGCCACCCGAGCCGCCCGAGCCGCCCGAGCCGCCCGAGCCGCCAGAGCCGCCCGAGCCGCCCGAGCCGACTGAGCAGCTGAGGAGCCGAGCCGCGGGTGCCGCCGAGCCGCAGTTGCTGCCGAGCCGCCCGAGCTGCCCGAACCGCCCTGTCTGGTTAGCGCAGCGCCTCTGTCACTGCACTGCCGCTGCTCTACAGTTAGCGCTGCTAGTCTACTGTTGTCATGGCTACCCCTAGTGTCCTCGCTTTTGACGCCGAGGGTCGAGCCATTGACTTTGACGTCTGGGTAGATGACCTGCAGCTGTTCTTACAGTGCGATAGGGCAGACGGTCTCTCCCTCTTTGACCTCACCTCTGGTGCCTCTCTTGCTCCTGCTGCTGATGCTGAAGCCACTATTCGCTCACAGTGGGCCACGCGCGATGCTGCTGCACGTCTTGCTGTGCGTCGCCACCTCCCTACCTCTGAGCGTGCGCACTTTAGTCAGTACAAGAGTGCTTAGACCTTGTACGACGCTGTAGTTGCACGCTACTCCTCCCCTGCCACTGCTGCACTGAGCCGTCTCATGCTACCGTACCTCTTCCCTGACCTTACTACATTTCCCACAGTCGCTGACCTCATTACGCACCTCCGCACTAGTGACACTCGCTACCGCGCTGCGCTTCCTGCTGAGTTCTGCGCCAAGAACCCCCCCCCCCCATGTACATCACTCTCTACTACATACTCAGTCGCCTCCCTGACTCCCTTCGCGTAGTGAGGGACCACTTCCTCTCAGTCTGTCCCACCACTCTCACTGTTGACCTCCTCAAGAAGTCCCTCCTAGCGGCCGAGAAGAGCATAGTCGCTGTAGGGGCCTCTCGTGGTGACCCGCGCACCCCCATCTTCGAGGGGTGTTCCCCCTCCCCCCTTCTGCCCTCTGTTGCCTCTGCTGCTGCGGCCGACCTCCTTGGTCTTGAGTCGGTCGGTGCGGCGTCTGCCTCTAGCGGGAGACGCCGCTCTGGCAAGGGCAAGGGGGGCAGGGGCGCTGGAGGAGCGAGCGGGGGCGGTGGAGGTGGAGGTGGAGGCGGCGGGGGGAGTGGGGGTGGCGGTGGTAGTGGAGGTGGGGGTGGAGGTGTCGGTGGCGGCAATGGAGGCGGAGGCGGCGGCGGCGGTGGCGGTGGGAGCAGAGGTGGCGGAGGTGGTGGCGGTGGAGGAGGCGGCAGAGGCGGCGGTAGTAGCGGAGGCGGCGGAGGCGGCGGAGGCGGCGGGGGTGGCGGTGGAGCTGGTCGCGGGTCTACGCAGAGGAGTGGCTCCGGTGGTGGTCCGCGCCAGCAGCAGCAGCGCGGTCGTGAGACCTTGTCCCCTCAGCAGCTTCGTGAGTGGTACACTGCACGCAAGCGGGGTGGGGGCTTTGGTCCGTGCACCTACGTCCTGCGCACCGGCGACCGTGCGGGTGAGCAGTGTGGGGGTGCGCACCCCACCCAGCGCTGCTTTGGCCGCCTGACGGACGCGTGTGTCAGAATCCCAACCACTAGACCTTTGGGATAAAAGGGCTTGTTTCAGTAGCGGGTGAGTGCGCCCATAACCCCCCAGGCGAACGCGCCTGTAACCCTCTCCAGGATCAATCGGGCATCCACAGTGCAGATCTACTGACACCCCCCCACACTGAGAGGCCCAGGACTAAGCACAGCGGCAACGGCCTACATGTGCATACACCGGGAATCGAACCCGAGACCGCTCTGATACCATGTCAGAATCCCAACCACTAGACCATTGGGATAAAAGGGCTTGTTTCAGTAGTGGGTGAGTGCGCCCATAACCCCCCAGGCGAACGCGCCTGTAACCCTCTCCAGGATCAATCGGGCATCCACAGTGCAGATCTACTGACAGCGTGGCGTCACCAGTTCCCTTAGGCCACAGAGATCCCTCGCTGGGGCGAGCTGTCTAGGGCGGGAGTTGCCATCTATGATCTTGATTTTGATGCTATCCTTTCTGCCATGTATGCTGTGTCTATTAGTGATGAGGGTGACTGTTACCGGTGTTTCCCGCCCGACCCGGGCATTGAGACTGCAGCTCTAGGTACTGGTGAGGCTGCTGCTCTAGGTGCCAGTGAGGCTGCTGCTCTAGGTGCCAGTGCGTCTGCGTCCTCAGGTGCTGGTGAGTCTGCGCTCGCAGGTACCGCGTCGGCTTCGGCCTCCCTCACCTTCACACTTGACTCAGGGGCTTCTCGCTCCTTCTTTCGAGACCGCACCACACTCACGCCGCTTGGTCGACCGGTTGCAGTCTCTCTAGCAGACCCCTCTGGGGGTCCTGTCCTTTCTCACTTCTCCACTGCCCTCCCGTGTCCGGCGGCCCCCTCTGGCACCTTGTCTGGTCTTTACCTCCCCTCGTTCTCTACGAACTTGGTGAGTGGTGCTGACCTACAGGATGTGGGGGTTCACCAGTTTACTCCTGCGAGTCAGCGGGTGACTCACTTCTCGGACGCTCGCACAGGCCGGCACCTGGCCACGTTTACGCGTCGGCCGGGGTCGAGCCTGTACACCCTGACCACTGAGTCTCCTCCTGTCCCTGCGTCTCGTCAGGTAGCTGCGTCGGGTCAGGTGTTTGCTGCAGCGTCCAGGTCTGGTCCTGAGTCTGCCCCCTGCTCGTGTCGCCTCCTGTCTCACGAGACTCTCCTCTGGCACCACCGCCTTGGTCACCCCTCCGTGCCTCGTCTCCGAGGCATGGCCTCCCGTGTCCTTGTCTCTGGTCTTCCCCGGTCCCTCCCTCCCCTTCCTCCGGGGCCTGGCCCCACCTGCGTCCCCTGGTTCGAGGGGCGGCTGCGGGCTGCCCCTCACTCCTCTCAGTTTCCCCCGACAGAGGCCCCGCTGCAGACGCTTCACATGGACGTGTGGGGCCCGGCCCGCGTCCGTGGACAGGGTCACGAGCGCTACTTCCTGCTGGTGGTTGACGACTACTCGCGTTACACCACAGTCTTCCCCTTGTGCACCAAGGGTGATGTCACTGAGGTGTTGATCGACTGGATCCGCGCAGCTCGTCTCCAGCTCAGGAGGAGCCTCGGCTCGGACTTTCCTGTTCTGCGTCTGCACTCTGACAAAGGCGGAGAGTTCTCCTCTGGCCTTCTGCGAGCCTACTGTCGTGCG